CGGGTAAGATTGGCTATAATGTAATTATCTTAATCTTCACTATCGTTACTTTTTGCCCAGCGAAGCGGGTCCTTGCAGCTAGATTCTAGATTACTTAGAAAAACAGTATTTTATATATAAAAAACAAAAACTATATTACATACAAATGTACGAACAAATAAAAACCCAGCGAAGCGGGTCCTTGCAGCTAGTTATTAATAAAAATCAAGATTTAAATAATTAAAATGTATTTATTTATTTGGTAAGATATAATTTTTTAAGCTTGTAAATATTTATACATCAATTAAATTATTATTACAATAAAAATATTTTATTATTATTTAAACAAATTCTACACATTATCTACTTTTTTTATAATTTAATATTATAAATTTAGAATAAATTTCTAGAAACTGCTAGGATAAATTCATTTTCATATTCTGTATTTTTAATTTACACACTCTTAGTTATAAATTTTAAAATTAGGAAAATGACAAAATACAATAAAAATTTATTTTAAAAATAACAGATTTTAGTCATGAAATAAACCAAACACCAAAAGAATTGATTATTTTAAATTTCATTTTTAAAGTAAATCATTTTATTTATTTTAAATTTAGGATCTATGTTGCCTTCAATTGTGGAAATTGTGGATAACAGGACACTAAGTGATTCTATTATAATTAAATTTTCATCTGGACATTCAAGAATAATGTAATATACTTTTTATATTTTGTTTAAATAATTAATAATTTTCTAAAAATTTGTTTATAAATCTATATACTCTACATTAACTAAACTAATTAACATACTACACTTCTTTAATTAATGAAGTTTATTCATCAAAGAATGTAACAGCTTACGATGTTAGCATTTTCGATAGATAGATATTGTTTATGAGAATTGATTTAAAGTTTCAAATCTTTCATAGATAGCTGTTCAAATCTTTCTTAGATAGTTATTGAAGTTATTTGCTAATGATTCAGAAATTTGTAATATATAAAAATTGCATATTTTTTTATATTTTATCTTGGTGTCAATTGCACGTTGCATAGTGACACAATGAAAAAAAATAGGATAAAATAGAATAAATATCAATAAAATTAAAGTAAAGAATGTGAAATTTTATTTAGACTGGATTTTTCTGGAAGCTACAGTCTGTTTGATCATGATTAAATATACAGTATATAATGAATAATTTTTAATGACTTTTTCTAGGCATACTTTGTGTTTTTCTGACATATTTTAAAACCTATATATTGTTGTTGTATGCACGTGGTGAGTTTTGATTTTTACAAGAGGCAGGCATTAAAACAATAAAACATGCTTTTATTTTTCTCGTATAAACTTCTACAAGAAAGGTTCTTGTGGATTCCGACACTCCTGATTCCTTATTTTCCAACAAAACAAAACAACACCTGTTCAGATCCACAGTCGAACAAATTTTTTTCGTGATACAAAGAATATATATAACCTAACTTAAAACTACTTACTCTAAAGAAAAAGAGATAAGGATAGATCATGAGGGACAAGAATATAAGTTTAAGCATGAACGGGTACCCGAGTCGGTGATCGAGGTGTCAGTGGTTGGATGATGTCGTCCTGGAATTTCTTTTGGGGATGGATCTTATGTGAGAGTCTACGAATAAGTTTCTTAGTTCTTTAGCCTACAAATGTCCTTAGTCACGATACTTCTTTCTTCTGAACTTTTTGTGACCTTTTTCCAGTCGATGCTAAAACGACCTGGAGACCTGACGTGTCTTCCCTCTTCTAGGTCCAAGGCAAAAGTGACCCTCTCATCTCTTACTTGCCCTCTGGGCTATTTCTTTTCTTTTGTCCCCTAACCAGGTTATCCACCACCCACACTTGAAAGAAAGTTCCAGGAAGTATACAAAGGAACACAGAACAAAGAAGGAAGGGAAAATAAAAAAACACATATAAAACATATGTATGAAATATAACAAAATACATTGGTGTATCACCATAATATTAAGTTTTATTCTTGAAAAATATTCTGAACATAATAGGTAAAGATTGAAGTTGACAAATAATTTAGTATTAATTAAAGTTAAAATTTCACCTATTTTTCTGTGGCCTTGACATAGTATGCATCGTCAAAAACAAATGCTCATCATGCACATTAGATGAAGAAATGCTTATTACAAAGAATATCAACTTACATAATGAATTTATTGACACTATTGAAAATATGTTAATTAAAATTAATTTCTAAGTACAGTATTAATATATGATGGAACCCTAACCATCTATCTTTAAAACAAATTACATTATTATTATTTGCAGAAAATATCAAATAATTGTGGAAGATGGTAGAAATAGGGAAGAAATCAACCAACAACATTTACTAGACCATGACAGTGCTACACTTGCAAAAATACCTTACTACATTACTGCAGAATTAGATGCCAAAGATCTACCAAAAGAGGATTATCACTATTTTATTGTAGGAGATCAAAAGACATATGGAAAATATAAAAATGTTCGTTTATCTCCAGGAGTACTATATAATATTCGAATTAGAACAATTAGTGCAGTAAGTTTATTTTTTATGTCTTTCATTTAATTTGTTTTTTCATATTAATTGAAAGAAAATTTATTTTCTTTCAATTAATTCCATTCAATTAACTCCAAATTCTTTAAAACATAACAAAACAGAACATTGTTTTGCTGGTATTCACTTTATTAACAAATTTATCTCAAGTATTTTCAGGCAACTAAGTCTATCATCAGGAGATGCACAAATGAATTAGTTTAGTAATAACACAATCTAGGGGTTGATTTCAATGGTAATAAGTTGTTTGTTTAACATCTGGTTGTTGTGCAAACTTAGGTGACAACTACTAAACTAATTCACTTCTGCATCTCCTGATAATGAATTTGATTGTGTGAAACTACTTGAGAGAAACTTATTAATAAAATGAAATCCAGTAAAGCAGTGTTTTGTTTTTTTATAAATTTTCTTTTAAATAATATTGACCCAGCATTTTATTCATGGCTCAATAATCACTTTTGCTACAAAAATGTAAAATCAAAGTAGCCAATTTTGAATTTCTCGATTTTAATCCCTTATATGGTATTCAACAAGGATCCATTCTCAGTGGCCTTTTTTTCTCGATATATATTAACAATCTTCTTTGCCATCTTAAATCTCACATTGTAGCATGTGTCAATGACATTAAGTTAATATGTTCTGATCCAAAAATCCTACAGTCTGATATTTGCTTGCTAAAAAGTCTATTTTATTGTGCTAATCTCAGGATTAATATACAGAAAACTATGGTTATGTGACAGAAACAAACTTCCAGGCATGTATACCATCTCTATCATTGATCACAGGTGTAATAGAAGTATGGTCTATATAGGATCAACCAAACGCACCCTCGAAACCAGAATTAAAGAACATAAAGTGGATATTCAACATAAAAGAACCAACACAGCTCTGGCCATATATTCTTTGGATCTGGATATAGAACCTATATTCTCTACACCACCCACCACATGGACCACCTCAGATGGCTTGAGGTGATCTACATATGCTTAAATAACATTAAGGAGAGTAATTGTATTAACTACAAGGAAGAAATTGCTCTATCAACCACCTGGCATGCCCTACTGGATAAAACTCTACGATAACACACAACATGCATAGCACCAAATCCATAATGATGTCATCCATTCACTTGGGACAACGTTCTGGATTATATTTCATAACAACTTTGAATTGAAGTACATTCCATTAGGAAGTTCAAATTACCTGAAGAAGAACCGTAATGGTTTGAAAACGTTTGTAACTTTATTGTATAGTTTGTTCTGAGATGCACACCGGTAAAAGGCTTATAGGTATGTACATTTTACAAAACTCCAGTGTAGAAATTCTACTATTTTTTATGGTATATACCTTAATTCTCAATTCTCCTTTACCTACTTTTTACATTGACTCCACTCCTGTTAATTATGTTATGTCATTCAACAATCTGGGAATAATCTATGCTACTAAACTTACTTTTAAAAATCATATTGATAAAATAGTTAAATCTTTGCCTATTAGACATAGGTTTATAAAATTTCCATAATATCCCATCTTATCTAAAAGTGCATTAAGAGCTTTTTTTTACTAATTTTCAGTCTTGCATACATTATGGATTACCCATTTGGTCTATGGCTGCATCTTCCCTTTTGGATAAAATTGCTAAAGTATAGTAATCCCCATAGTTCATGGGTCTATGGGACAGATGAAGACGAGCAAATGAGTTGGCTTAATGGGCAACAGAGAAATTTACTCCTTCCTTAAATAATTATTACAATGAAACATTTAGTACAATTCAATTTACAATCTAATATTTTTCGACAAAAGCTAAGACATCTTAGACTAGTGATATCTCGTAATGTGTATTTCTAGGAGACAGAGAAAGGAAAAAATGAAAGGAGTGTACAAGAACATGTTAGCTAACACAATAAGGAAAAGTGATTCCAGCTGGAGAGTCGTTAATGACATGGGCTGCCCATTTCACTTACAATAATTGCACTCACTTGGTCAGTACATAAAACTTAGTCACCAGTTTCTTCTAAAATGAACGTCCTTGTTTTTCTTCTAGATAAATCTTCCTACTATGCAGTTTGATGGAAACGGATTCAATTGTGATGATCTCGCCAAGACCCTTCCTTGCATCCCGTTTCTATTTTCTTATGCTCTTATATACTGTCTTTGCCAATTCAAAGTGTCTCCACATGCCTCCATTGTTGGTTGGAGCTCTAATGTGGATGGTGAGCAGAGGGCAGGATGAAACAGAAGAAACAGTTCCCTCACACGTAACTCCTGCCTGTTTTATATGTCTTGGGGTGGACTTTCTCACCCATGTGACACTCGTTGGCCAATCAGATGCCAACTCACATGAGTTTAAGAAAAGGTAATGGCACAGAAGGAACGAAAAGATAATAAGAAAAAAGAAAATAAAACAAAATGGAAAGAAAATTTACAATAATATAATTGCAATGTGTTATAAGAGCTCTTGAAAAAGTTTATTTATATTTTAATAAATTTTGAAATTTACCATATACTCAGAATCATAACTTTGCAAGAATTAGATTAGGTTTTCCTTTATTTTTTGAGCATATCAAATAATTCAATCACTTTATTTTAAATTTTTTAATGGTTTTATTTATTATGATGGGCTATTCTGTTTCTTCAAAAAATTTACAGCCTTCATCTTGCATGTTCATTCCATTTTTTTGTTTGGGTGTATCTCAAGGGTCTTTTGTATTGTATTTCTCAAAATTTAAATAATTTTGATGAGGCCAAACACCCACCAGATTACATTGGGCTACTTTTTCGCAATTATATTTATTAAATAATTTAGAATATTCTGGAAGAAAAGAACCTGCCCAGAGCAGGACTCAAACCCACAACTCCCGTGTACCATGTGGATGCTACCTGAGCCTCCATTCCAATCTCCTCTTCCAGACATATTTAAATATGATATACCATCCTCAGTTACAAATTATTTAGCTTAATTAGTTATTAGTTATTTTTTAGCTTAATTAATTAAATATAATCACAGAAAAGTAGCTCGATGTAATTCAGTGGTGTTTGGCTTTACAAATTTATCAGGTTTTGTGAGATTTATTTATGTATAATTTTGATAACTTTTTATTTCTTAATTTTTTTTAAATTAAAATGTTTTAATTTAATTTTAAATTAAAATTAAATTAAAATGTAAAAACATGTAATATAATTTTTAATTTTATTAAATTGTTATTTCTTTTTTCTTTATTTGTTATATTTATATTTGTTTGTATATTTGTTAACTTGGGGGAAGATATCAACTGTCCTTTGGGACTTTCTTCTTATTTGTAAAAATAAATAAATAATTTTTTTTATATTATTAGAAGAAGCAATCATCTATCTCTGAAGCAAGACAGCACGTTATTGGTATAAAATTTAATTTGATATTATACAAAAAAATTTTTTCAATTAAATATGTTTAATCTTTAAGAAATTAATTGAATTATTTTATGTAAATTATAGTTAGCTATCAAAGTGATGACAAATTTGAAAAATCCATATTTGGATTGCCTTTTTTACATTTTATCTTCATAGTCCTTGGGATGTTAGTTCTGCTCATAATTGTTATTTTTATTGTTGGATTAAAAGTTCATAAATATTGGTAAGTTTACTTCTAATTAATTAATTACAATGAATTTTTTTATCTGAAATTATTTTATTTTGAAATCCTTGATTTAAATTTTATTTATTTTTATTGTTTCATTTATTTTTTAATATTATTATTATGGTATAATAACAATAATTAATATACTACATATAATAATGAATAAGTGTAAGATTACATATCTCAATCACACTGTTATGATTATAATTTGTGGAATTTTTTACTCAATGCCAAGGAGATATAAGTGCCCCTTTGCCTTTTCTGCATATGTTCATGATGGCAGACATAATAGTTGAAATATTGGCTCAATTCAACCTCTGAATGAGATGTTTGGGACTTTATCAGAGCTGCAGAGCATACCTATGGGAGCAAAAAAATCAAAGGAACCATATCTCTACAAGCAATCCTTTGCAAGATACAGCCCTAAAATTGGGTTGCATGAGATCACAAGTTATGTGGCTCCACTAAGACTATCGCGTTTAACTATTTAGCCAACACGACTATGCAGGCTTTGAGTAGTCTACTTTGACTGTTCATGGAGTACTTGATGTTAAATAGTTTTACGGAGGTGTGGAGGCTCACCACCATCCAGGCGCTGAGGCATGAGCAATAGCGAGCACCAAAGAGCACAACTACATGCGAAGCATCGGTCAAGACAAGGGATAGCAAGCCTTGATAACACAGAGTGTGGAAAATAGGCAATATACTGATACATGTTAAAAACTGACATTTGGAGGGAAGTATCTCACAAAGGGTTGCATGTACAACTATGGTTCCTTTGTATGATCATAACACTTACGTGTTGTAGCGTTACAGGAGTGGCGTCTTGGAGAATGAACTTGTCTGACTTTAGAAAAATGAACTCATCCGCTAGTACTTTCAGTATTATATAACTACTGTCTTCAGGCGGTCTATCGAATACAACAGATTAAGATTTTCGAACTCTAATCCAACGGTTTCACAAATTTCAGATTTTCGAAATTATCGAACAATATTTTCGACGGTTTAACTGATTTTTCATTTTTGAATGTTATTTAAAAATCCTTTTGTGCATCATAGCGCATGGAAGGAAAACAATTTTAAATAAGCATGTGTTAGGAAAAATAAGGTCGTAAAAGAGCCCAGAACATGCATAAAGTATAAGATATGTCAAAAAGACATCTGAGTTGCAAAGACTTCAACATCGTGCATTCAGTTGTTTAAAAGCTGTTACCCAAATTTCTGGTAATTCGAGAGTTGGGGAGTTGCACGGTTCAGTAGCAGAAATATAGAGACTCTCCCAAACACATAGCTCTTTATGTTCGTTGCAGCATTGTGATCAAGCACTTTCTTTGCTAACTCTGTAACAGGCCTGCCATTTTTTGATGTCTTCTTGATGTTCGAGAATACGTGAGCATAATCTTCTAGCTGTGGCCCCTACATAACTGGTTTCTTCATCTGACAAGGTATGTTTTAGCAGGACTTGGTAGATTCCTGATTTTTCATTCCACTGGTATCTATCCCTATCATTACATAGTAGTCTTGTTAGACTTGGTGTCGGTGTTATTGGTAGAACAAAACCGTTATGTTTAGAACTAACGGTTTTAACGGAACTAACTAACTAACTAACTAACTACTAATTACTGAAATGCTGCAACGAACATAAAGAGCTATTTGTTTGGGAGAGTCTCTATATTTCTGCTACTGAACCGTGCAACTCCCCAACTCTCGAATTACCAGAAATTTGGGTAAACAGCTTTTAAACAACTCAATGCACGATGTTGAAGTCTTTGCAACTCAGATGTCTTTTTGACATATCTTATACTTTATGCATGTTCTGGGCTCTTTTACGACCTTATTTTTCCTAACACATGCTTATTTAAAATTGTTTTCCTTCCATGCGCTGTGATGCACAAAAGGATTTTTAAATAACATTCAAAAATGAAAAATCAGTTAAACCGTCGGAAATATTGTTCGATAATTTCGAAAATCCGAAATTTGTGAAACCGTCGGATTAGAGTTCGAAAATCTTAATCTGTTGTATTCGATAGACCGCCTGAAGACAGTAGTTATATAATACTGAAAGTACTAGCGGACGAGTTCATTCTCCAAGACGCCACTCCTGTAACGCCACAACATATAAGTGTTATACCGTATTTTGACAAATATAAGTTACACTTTTTTTTCTACGTTTGGGGCTTAAAATCATGGTGCGTCTTATACTCGACAGGTAACCATTTTTACAGCGAAATGATCTATAGTAGTGGTCCACTCTAGGAACCAACCTGTGCAGTGGTCCGTTAGACAGATGGTCCCTCAACCGAATTGCTAGAGTACCTAGATTACCAGAGTAGCGACGCACGAGTCATCGCCGCCATGTTCTGTCGACTGTGATCACGTGACCTCTGAGTTTACATTAAGAAATGACAATTATTTCAGTTTAATAAATGTATGGATTCATCCCTCCGTCACATTCTTGAGTAAAAATACGAATAAAATGCATCTTTAGACAATCCCATTAAAAAAGTTTTTTTCTAAATTTTTTGTCTTAAAATAGGGGTGCGTCTTATACTTGACAGCAACTTATACTCGTCAAAATACGGTAATCATATAATAAATGTTGGCGTGAAGTGACATTGTATTATATGGTTCCTTTGACTTTTCTGCTTGTACAAGATCTACAATTCAAGCAGTCAAAAAACCTCTCATTTGGAGCTTGAATCTTAACAAAATACTCATGATAGCTTTCGCCAGATAAAAATTTTTACTATGTTTTAATAACTCAGAAAATTATTCCATTTCTTAAAATAAATAAGTTATTAAATTTCTGATACATATAGCACTGAGAACACTGTTTTTTCAACATTATCCATGTTTAATGATGAAAAGAAATGTTTTCAGAAGTATTTCATCCTTTTCAAAAATGTTTTCATTAGACAAATGGCAAAAGAACACATGCCTGAATGTTGTTATAAAAACTTCATGAAATGATCACCTAAATAATCATGCTATAACTCCACTAAATTTAATAATTAATATTAAGTAATTTGCTACTAGAGGTAGATGTTAGGTACCATCTCTTAACTAAATTAATAATTAAAATTTTTAACAATGTATTAAATAATTTAGAACTATCTGGAAGAAAAGAACTGACCCAAGGTGGGGCTTGAACCTGCAACCTTCGCTTGCTGTGCAGTTGCTTGCTAGTTGCACCACCCAGACCCTGAGGAAACCTTTGCTTCCAGATGCATTTAAATTTAGATATAACCTTACGCAATTAATCACGGCACCAGCTGGGGAATGATTTCTACACCCATGGCCTAAGTATAAATCCACAATGGTACTCGATATGCAGAATCTTTCAGAGAAAATGCAAGGCCTGGTGCAACTAATATTTTAGAGGTTCTTCAAAATTTAAAATAAAATTGTGGACAAGAAAATAAAGTCAATAGTATTTAATGATTATTTCAGAATAGTCTAAAATACAAGTGTTGCTTTCCATTTAATTGTTCCTGACACATTGTCGATTATAGATAGTTTTTAATTCTTGTCAGAACACTAAATGATCTCTCACCTTCTGCTACACCTTCTGCTACACCTTTAATCTCTCACCTTCTGTAGCAGAAGGTGAGAGATTAAAAAATTTGAAGCACAATTGTTATATTGGGAAATATGTTTACGAATCTCATGTTGATAAATTCCTTAAGTAATTCTGCCAGTTTCGTGCTTAGTTTAAAATTGGATTTGTAAACATGCTTTGGCAGTATTAGTTCTTCTACAATTTCATTACTTATTTCATTTTTATATTTCTCTAGCAATAATTTTGCCTTTGAAACTATATTCTCTTGATCAATTTCATTAAATTTCCATAAAACTTCAAAAAAATTGCAAATTGAAGAAATTGCTTGAAATTGAATCCATCTATTATTGATTTGATAATTTTGTTAAAAGGCAAAATGAAAATATTCTTCAGCAGGTTTTTGGTCTTTTAATCAATGATTTATTTCAAATTCTGGAGTGATTTCATTTTTGGTTGCAATTTTTTTACATTTAGAAGGATTTCAGAGGGATTACAAGGGATTTCAGAAAGGCCTATCTATTCTGTTATTATATTACTGGTGCCAAACACCAAAAAGGCTTTATTGTCCAGCTAGGGGTCTTTTAGTTTGATTATAAATTTTATACCTGCTTTAGCTATGGACAGTTCAGACAAAAAGTGTTTTCTATATTAAAAATTGGAAAATTTTTTCTCAAATATTTTTTGGGGAGTTTAATTGTAAAATTAAGGCCATTCTACAAGCTGTGAAATCACTTTGCCTTCTCCTATATTTTTGTCTAACATATTGAGTTACCAACTTGAGGCCCCTAGTATTGCAAGGCCTGAGGCAGCTGCTCCTCTTGACCTCCCTCTGATTGGCCCTGTTGATATCTATATATGGTTCAAAGCTTGATATGTATATAGAAACATTACCAAATGATCACCTAAATAATTGGTCTATAACTCTGCTAAATAGTTCCAAATTATTTAATTATTCCAGATGGTTCTAAATTATTTAATACATTGTTAAAAATTTTAATTATTAATTTAGTTAAGAGATGGCACCTAACATCTACCTCTAGTAGNAAACATCACCAAATGATCACCTAAATAATTGGTCTATAACTCTGCTAAATAGTTCCAAATTATTTAATTATTCCAGATGGTTCTAAATTATTTAATACATTGTTAAAAATTTTAATTATTAATTTAGTTAAGAGATGGCACCTAACATCTACCTCTAGTAGCAAATTACTTAGTATTAATTATTAAATTTAGCAGAGTTATAGCCCGATTATTTAGGCAATTGTTTGGTGATGTTTCTACATACATATCAGGCTTTACGATGTTTGTTATACTTATAGTTGTTTTAAAATTTTTAACTTTTAACATCATATCATTAAACATCATTAAACATGGATAATGCTGAAAAGACAGTGTTATCCAGTGTTCCAATGTTAACTCAATGCTATACATCTCATGAACATTTTATCATGGTGAAAAATTTCTTCATTTTTTATTAAATTTCTGATGAATTTTTTTTAAATATTGATACTGATAATTTAGGATCATAATTATGATCTATAATAATGTGGTCTTATGGATGCACAACTAGAAAAAGACTATGGGATTTATACAGAATAATAATTTTATTTCAGAGTTTGATCTTTTATAATTATGAAGTATTTTCATATTTATAATGTAAATTACCATAAAATATTTTATGTAAATAAGAATGTTATGTATCCCAATGAGTTTTTTTAAGTATTTTTCTGAAATTTACATACAGTAGAGTTCCACAAACTGGATTTAATGTGGATTGAGAAGTTGATGAGTTGTAGAAAATGATAAGTTTTATGGCGTAATGATGATGCTAGTCTAAATAACAGAATTTTCATAATACATGCAAATTCATATTTCTATTTGTAGTTAAGTTTTAATTACAAATAGAAACTATTGTCTATTCAGTGACTACTTTTAGGTTAGTAAATATTTTGTTATATTCTTTGTTGTAACACGTGGAATTGATGCTATTATCAAGTGTTACCATTGAAGAACACTATCTTAATTTTTTGATTCACTAACACAAAGTGTGTTTCTATTTCAACACTTGGCAATATTCCATCTTTAATCAACTGAATAAAGCCAAGTGTTACAGAATATCACCAAGTGTTGAAATAGAAACACACTTTGTGTTAGTGAATCAAAAAAATAAAACAACACAGTTTCAGAAGATTTAAAACAATAACTTATTTGATCCTAGTGTTAAGTTATAGGGGTAGAAATTAGATCATTTGTATGCTTTTTTTTTTTTTATGTCACAACAAGTTTTCCAGAATATTATGAAGAGTTGAGTTTCTGGGACTCAACTGTATATGCTTATATTATTAATAAATGTTATTGAATTAATTCTCCCTGATATAGTGATATAGTTTCCTTCTGAAGAACTAACTATTAAGTGCTTCTTATTTTGAGCTTTTTAACACAATAAGTTATTTGAAAAAATAGAAAATGCTAATAAACATATAAAGAGACATGTGAATTAGCATTTCCTATTTTTGGATTTGTGGAGTCATTTCTTACAAAGGATTGTGATGTTTCATTTGAGGGCAATATATTATTGCAGACAGGAAACATATAAAACGAGTAAAAATACAAAATTTTTTTTATTCATCAAACACAGGTTCTTTAAAATGATTCCAACTTACAGACTACTGGGTTCGTATACATACAATAATCGTCTACACAAACAAGCCTCTATTGTAGCAACCGACACACAACTTATAGCTAAACTTAACCTACTTACAAACTAAGGAAGGAGAAATAAAATATAGATAGGGATAGTAGTAGAATAAAGGAGAAAATACCCGGGAGTTTTCTGCCACGTGGTCTCGGATGATTCACCGTCTTGAAATTCTTAATGACTGCAGACCTTATTTTCTTTCCTCTTATGAACGTCTACGTTTTCTGAAGTTGTCTTGTGGTCTTCCCGCTTGCTGTTATTTGAACATGGGGGAACTCGATTTCTTTAGCAATTGCCCTACGTTCCTCTATAATTCAGCCGTCTTACAAGGTTCCGATACCTCTGATCTCTCACTAAGCGATCAGGGTATGATCCTCCTTTGGCCTTCTATTGCAAGGTTTCTTACTCCTTGATCGACCCCTCGGTCAGGACCACACTCGTTTTCATCCTCTCTCGACAAAATCGCAGCCACTTCTCCTTTCTTTCACCTCGCCTCCTCTCCAGGGGGTTATTGCTCCTTTTGTCTTCTTGACATTGTTTCACAGAATTGGTGATGTCACCCGAGGGAATAGGGATTAAGGGAGAAAGTTCTAGAACAGTTAAGACAAAAAAACAGAGGAGATACTAAGCCTAACTAAAATTAACAAAAATATATATAAAACTATGGCCGACGGCCACAGGATGATATTAAGTTATTCCATTCTTTAATGTACTCCATTCAATGTTTTTTTGGTCCTTTTCAAATTTTATCTGACTGTATTTAAATTAAATATTACTTCACTATAAATCCAAATTAAAAATAATGTCAGCGTGATTTATTTATCTATTTTTGTAGTCAAAATAAAAAAAAGAAACAACAGTGTTTTACCATTCATGATCCAGTTGTATCGGATGCTGTCACATGGTCAGTGGCATATACAGTTTCTGATTATGAAGCAACTGATTGTCCGGTTGTAAATTGTGAAAAAACTCTTCCATTGTATATTGCTAAAGGTATTTAGATTTTTATTAAGAAACTTAGAATATTTAACTCTCTTAAGTAATTAATCAAATATTTTATTTATATAAAGGATCTCTCTTAAAAACAAAAAAAACAAAAAAACAAAACTATTCAGAAGAGCTTAATGTTGATGATTTAGCTGATTACATTTATAACAAAAATATTCATCCATCAAAGAATTTTGCAGAAGAGTTTCAGGTAAGATAATTTAAAATACTATTAAATTTTGTTATGAAATTTAATACCTTTCCAATAAATATATAAAAAAAAGATGTCAGACTCACTTTGTGAGCTTGTCATTAGAAAACTAGAGTTTGCAGTGTTCCCATCCCTAACATACAATTTCATTTGTTAGAAATGCTATATGGATGGTATCTTGATCATATGGAAGCACAAACCCAATTTAGATGCTTTTCTTCAGCTAATGAATAATAATCCTGTATAGTTGTGGCTACTGGTGGAACAGTTACAAAATTATTCCACCAACGATTAGATTTAGGGTTATTGCCAGAGTAACCATCATAGAGTTGGCATCCTTGATTGAACCTGTATGTAATTATATCATGAATAAATAAATAAATTTTTCTCACATCTACTGCATGTTTAGTTTATAGGTATTTGCCTTAGTGGTTAACAAAAACTTTTTTACATCTCACATAAATGAACCATATAAACACTTAACTTTTTCAACATCAATCTCTCACTTACAGAAAGGCAAATCTGAACAAAATACCTAAAGCCAACCTTTTAACCATTCTACATCCCTACATCTTTTGACTCTTCAACTACAAAACTGCAGCTTTCCATGTGCTAATTAAAACATGACTACACTCCTGCTCTAAGCTCATAGATTGTAATAAGGAGCTAAACATGATCATTAATCAAGGATTACAAAATGGCTTCTGACAGCATAATATTCTCCTCCTCATTAAGCACATTCCAAACACTGGACAAAAAGATGTATGCAAGCTTTTTCCTTCTCTGCATTTGACCTATGTGAATCATACTCCAAAACCCTTTAAGTAATCTTTATATCCATTGCTAATAATAATAATAATAATAGTTAAATGCAAAACACACAGTTAAAGCAATAAACACATATGTCATCCCAGTACTCACATACTCTTTTGGCATTATACATTGGACTCACACAGATCTCGAGCAACTCCAAAGGAAAACAAGAACAACACTTACTAAGCATAAACAACATCATCCTAAATCCGCCATAGAAAGATTAACCCTTCCACGTAAAGAAGGCGGACGTGGAAGGGTTGACATAGTTAACCTTCACT